TGTGTTGCAAATTACATATTAAACATGGCCAAAGAAGGGCACCTGGCTTAGTTGGGTAGAGCATGTGACTCTTCATCTCCGGGTCCTGAGTTTGAGCCCCACATTGGGCATAGAGAGTACTTTAAAAAATGGCCAAAGAGACAGATGAGTCAGGAAAAGTGACCAGAACCATTTCTAGAGGAACTTAAGCTAAATACAGTGGGACCTACTTAAGCATTGTGGAAAGGGCAAAGTAGAATTAGAAAGTTCAGAGAACGGGACACCTGGGTGGCTCAGTCAGTTAAGTGTCTGCCTTTGGCTCAGGTCATGATCCTGGGGTCCTGTGATCGAGCCCCACATCGGGCTCCCTGCTCGGCGAGAAGCCTGCTTCTCCCTCTGCCTGCTGTTCCCCCCTGCTTGTGCTCTCTCTCTGACAAATAAATAAATAATTTTTTTTTTTTTTTTTAAAGAAAGTTCAGAGAACAAATACATGTATGCCAATTTGAAGGGAATCAAACCACAGAATGGCCATGGAATTTAGGGGAAATGACACAAAGTTGCTGTAACTTCCCAATTTAAAACTCAAAAAATCTAGGCTAAAGCTCCTAGAAATATTTGAATCATATAATAACCCTACTCAAAAGCCTTCCATAGACAATACTGGCAGAAAGCTGATAGTTGTTGAGGCTAAGATACATAAGGGATCACTGTTCTATTTCTCTACTTTTCTGTATGTTTGAAATTTTTCATAATTAAGAAAAAGAAAACCAAATCCAAACCATCGGACTTTTTAAATGATTATATCCAGTACAGTGAATGTAATAGAGCATCAAAATCTGTTAGGAAAGGTAGGTCTGAGACGCAGTACGGAGGGCTTTGCATGCCCATCTGAAGGTCTATAGGTAATGGAAGCCATTGAAGGATTTTAAGCAGGTAGTATGTGCGTATGCATGTGTATGTTTGTGTGTGAAGTTCAAGTCTGTGTATGTCTGCTTCTAAAGGAATGAGACTGGAACGCATATCGTAGCTGTCTTTGAAAGGTAATACTTGAAATCTGAATATAGTTTCAGTCTTTCGGGTGGTGCTCGGGTGACGAACTGCTCTGGTTTGCCCAAGACTGTGGGTTTTATGAGATGTAGGATTTGGGGTTTTAAAACTTCAGTGGTGGGGCCCCTGGGTGGCTCAGTCGTTAAACGTCTGCCTTCAGCTCAGGTCATGATCCCAGGGTCCTGGGATCGAGTCCCACATCGGGCTCCCTGCTCGGCTCAGCAGGAAGCCTGCTTCTCCCTCTCCCACTTCCCCTGCTTGTGTTCCCTCTCTTGCTGTGTCTCTCTCTGTCAAATAAATAAATAAAATCTTTAAAAAAAAAAAAAAACTTCAGTGGTTGGTCACCTTAGCAGTGGCAACAGATGGAGTGTACAAACTGTGAGTTCTTTGTTTAAAGGGTACCCCATAGATAAGGAAGCAAGATAAAGACCAGGCAGCTGAATAGATACGGAAGCCAGGGGTGGAGAGTTTTTAAACAGGTGGTAGTCAGCTGTTGCCCAGGCCATGGAGGACCCGAGAGGATGGAGACTCAGGCCATAGAGTCGGATGTTTTAGGATGACCTCTTCAGATCAGGACTTGCCAGACGTATTCTTCAGTTACCCAGCCTTTGCAAACAAAACAAAACCAAAGCCAAAACTACATCACGTACAATTAATCAGTGCCAACAATGTAATTGCATTAGTACTTTTAGGTGTTAGAATACAGATTCAGAAATTAATTAGTTAAGTAATTCATGAAAAGGTAAACTGCAAAGGCAAAGGCATTTTATCATTTAATAATTTGATTAGTTCTAAAGCAATCCCTTGCAGTATTTAATTTTTGTAATATTATGTATTTTCTTATATTAAAATAAATTTCACATAAAGCTGAACAAATATTAGTCAAAAATATAAATATAAAACATAAACATATAGCACACTTATATACTCCAGAGCAAGTAATCTTTTTTTTTTAAAGATTTTATTTATTTATTTGAGACAGAGAGAATGAGAGAGAGAGAGCACAAGAGGGGGGGAGGGTCAGAGGCAGAAGCAGACTCCCCGCCGAGCAGGGAGCCCGATGCGGGACTCGATCCCGGGACTCCAGGATCATGACCCGAGCCGAAGGCAGTCGCTTAACCAACTGAGCCACCCAGGCGCCCAGAGCAAGTAATCTTAACCCTACTTGCAAATGAGTCCATTTGGCATTGGCTCTGCTGCACTGTGAATGAAGTCTTTGGCTAAGGGTTTTGGGGAATAGAAAGATCCAATATGATTGTGGATGTCTTTTTTTTTTTTTGCCAGGAGGCTGCATCTGGCCGAGTGGAGAGATCCCAGGCTCTATAGTCTCTTGGGTTTGCAGTTGGGACTTTGGGGTTTATTCACCAAAGTTGGGTAGGCACTGATTCACTGGAGCATTGCCCTGTCTGCTCAGACACATGTCAGCCAGAGAGACCCGAAAAGTCATATGCCTTTCCTTTCTTGTACCTCAATCACTTTATGGCCAGAGCTTACCTTTGACATAATCTACTCCTGTTGCTATCTCCAACACTCCATGAGTGCAGAGAAAACATATGCTTCCCCCATTTCTACTTCTGGATGCCACCGCCTGTCACGACCTGCTCAGGGTGGGTAGGGAATCTGGGATCCATGCACTGTGAGGGCAGGCAGTTGGGGGGTAGCCAGTGGGGAGTGAAGGGGTGGAGAGAGGAGTGAAGTCGTGTTTCCTCCTATTTCCAACCTCAGCAAAGGACACCAAATCCAGTTCCTCTTCCCTGTCCCTGTAGAGTCCTCCAGGCAGATTTGCCACTGTTCCTAGGCTAGGAGGAAGTGGAGGGTGGCTGTGGGGGCTGGTATAGACACAAACACAATCTCCAAGTGGCTAGACTGAGGTTTTCGAGGCATTTTTCTGGGACTTTGAATCCAAGGGCAAGCAAATTTTGCTCTGTGTGTTCATGAATAGAATGTGAATGTCAGGTCTTATTCCACTGAGAAGTAAGATGAACAAGAAACCTGACTAGGATCCTATGAGGTCTCCAGTCTTCGGAGAATCAAATTGCCACCCCCTCCCTGCTAAGCATTTCTGTCACTCTTGGTCCCAGCTGCACTCAGGGCCACTAGCCATAAATTATTATCCAGCATCTGGTTTGAATAAACCACAGATTTATCTGCGGTCTGTGAGGGCTCTAGGCAGGAGATGCAAACAGCAGCTTTCATTAGGGAGGACTGGATGTATTGGGACCCTTTTCTCTTTTGCATCCTCTGGCCATGGTAAGGATTTCTAACGGTGCTCAGTGAAACGTTCTTCTCTTGGCCGTGATCTTTCCTAACTGGTCCAGTGAGACTGAGAGAAGAATTCTGTCCTGAGTTCCCCTTTTTCTATCCCAAAAGGAAATAAAGCAGGAAGATCAGGATTTAATTTTTTTAAGATTTATTTATCTATTTGAGAGAGAGAGAGAGCAGGGAGGGGCAGAAGGAGAGGGAGAGAGAAACACCAGTAGACTCTGAGCTAAGCGTGGAGCCTGATACAGGGCTCAATCTTAAGACCCTGAGATCATGACCTGAGCCAAAACCAAGAGTCGGAGGCTTAACTGACTGCACCACCCAGGGGCCCCAACAGTTTTATTTTATTTTAAAATTTATTATATATATATATATATATATTTCTCATCATCGTCTAATAAACCAGCCAAAAAGGACACAAAGATGTCAGCATCGCCCTGCTGGGTCAGAACCACACAGGGCCCCACAGCCTGGTGCCCAGTCTCACACCGGGGTCTGGAGGAGTGTGATCATTTCAGAGCTAGAGACGTAGCCTTCGAAGCGTTCCTGAGGACCCTACAGGAACCTCTTTAATGATTTTTACTCCTTGTTACCAACTGAACAGCTTCAGGGTGATATCTTTTAAAGCTTTAGATAGAAACTCCTTTGAGGCCCTGTGTCTGTCCTTAACAGCATGGCAGTGGTAAGAGGGACTAGGGCGCTCATTGTTTCTCACAAAGAACTAAAAGATTGTGGTTTAGGGATCACCAAGGGTGGACCAAAGCTGGAGGAATTGAAAGTGGCAGAAATATTCGGAAAGTTGCTGCGTTCAAAACATGGCAAAATTGCCATGATGAATGTCTGGTTTACAGTGAAGGTAGCTGGGGTTCAGTGGTGGGTTTTGGTGCCTCCTTGTGTTGGAGAAAGTACCAAGTACAGGGATGGCAGACTGTGGCTTGGGGGTCAAATCACACTCACCGCCTGTTTTTGTAGAGCCCACATGCTAAGAAGGCTTTTTGCATGTTTACATGGTTGAAAAAAAATCAAAAGATATTTCATGATGTGTGAAAAATATGAAATTGACATTTCAGTGTCTGTAAATAAAGTTTTATTAGAGCGCGGCACACTTGTTCATTTACATGTGCTACAACAGCACTCTGCTATCTGAGGCAACCTGTCCCCTGTCTAACGAAGGGGTCCAGAGAGCTCCCTCAGCCTTCCAATACTAAGGACTGGCGCCCCAGTTTGTTTATCCTTCCTCCTTCTCCCGCAAACCAACCTTTCTGAGCGTGTAAGGAATTTCCATTCCTCCCACCTCTCTTCTAAGGAGTCCACCTCTGTCCAGAGGGAGAGGGAAACAGGAGTCGAATGGGACTTTCAGCATCCCTCCCTTCCCGTTCTGCCCTGATTGCACCAGATTTCTCCTCTTGGTTTCTGCTGTCGTCCCCCAACTCAAGACATTGCTTGATTGAATGTGTAGTTCCTTTTCCCTTATTCAGTAGAAGTTTCTGCCCTAGCAGCCCAAAGTAAAGAATGTATGAGAGAAAAATACAAGAGAATTCCTGTGGAGTCCACTCCCAGAAAAGCAGGAACCACAGTGGAATTAGCAGACACTGAGGCATTAGAAGGCAAAGGTCATGAGGGGTTGTGGGACAATTCTGTGCCGCTCAAATCTCAGCTCTTAGATTGGCCTTGGCTGCTACTCTAGTCTTCCTTCTCCTGGACTCTGCCAGGTTTGTGACACCCCACCCGGTACCGGCCTTCCACACGGGAGTCCTGTGACAACCAAAGTCCCCCTGCTGCTCCACATGGCGGATGAATATCCAAAGTGATTTTGTGGGTAAAGGAACTCTTTACACCGTAGCTTTCAAACCTCTCTCAGGGCACAGGGCTGTCATGTAGAGCTTGCAAAGCAGATCCTTTAGGACTTCTGATTTCTTTTCTTTTTCTTTTTAAAGATTTTATTGGGGTGCCTGGGTGGCTCAGTTGGTTAAGCGACTGCTTTTGGCTCAGGTCATGATCCTGAAATCCCAGGATCGAGTCCCGCATGGGGCTCCCTGCTCAGCGGGGAGTCTGCTTCTCCCTCTGAGAGAGACAGAGAGCAGGAGCTGGGGGAGGAGGGTCAGAGGGAGAGGGAGAAGCAGACTCCCTGCTGAGCAGGGAGCCCAATGTGGGGCTCAGTGCCAGCACCCTGGGATCTTGACCTGAGCTGAAGGCAGATGCTTAACCACCTGAGCCGGGCTTCCCAGGACTTCTGATTTCTGTCTAAAACCAACCAATTTGAAGATAGGGTGTTTTGGCTCATTATGGAAATTTAGTGGGTTGTACAGAAAGAAAGAAAGAGAAAAGAAGGAAGGAAGGAAGCAAGCAAGCAAGCAGGAAGGGAGGGAGGGAGGGAGAACTGGAGGGAGCCTTATCTGGTTGAAGGTAGAGCAACTACAGTACTGACGTCACCATCCTTGAAGCTCTTGTTAGCTCTCTGCTGCTTTTGGCTTTTGCAACCAATGACATGATATTTCTTCTTAATAAGCATGGGGAGGGATTATATAGTTTGTTATCTTGGCATTGTTCATATTAATCACCTGGTGGCTCTAAATCAATTTTCTGTTTTTCTCTGTTTTTCAGGGATAGGTATGCATGTATTATTGAGAAAGAAGTGTATTTCTCTATTCTTTAGGAGCTGGAATGGCACTTCAGAATCTGATTTGTCTTACCATAACAACCAAACCAGCCTTAAATAGTTACAGAAATAAATGTCAGGAAAATATGAAAAATGTGTATTTTCATGAATCTTTTCCCTTCTAGTTGAATAAATCCCATGCTGTTGGAATTTTAAAGAGATGTACGTGAGTGTGTGCGTGTGTGTGTGTGTGTGTGTGATTTTTTATTGTTCACAGAAATAAGGGACTTTCTCGGAAAAATGTGCTTGAGAGCCCAGACGCTCAGCATTTAGTCTTTGCTACTGATCTTACATTTTCATTTGGGAGCCTTGGTATGATCAGGAGCCTTCTTTTCATATTTTCCTCAGTAATTCTGATTTTAAAAACACCAAATACAAGAAGATCCCAAATTCCTAACTTTCTGGTTCCAAGATATCTAGGAGTGGGGTGTCTTATTTTGTGCACAGCCCTTTGAGGCAGCGCGGATGCTGTCATTCTGAAGAGTGACAGTAGAGTGTGACGTTTTCCTTCTTCTCAAACAGCCCCTCCCCGGTCACCTGCCCATGCAGCTCCCATCGCTTCAAGGAGACCTAGAAATCACAACGCCAGAGGCAGACACACGTGCATTGCCACAGACCCAGGAGCACAGCAAAATAGACGTCCCTCTACTCTGGACTCCTCCTGTTTTCTCTCTGTGGCTGCACACACCACTCTTGCCCTCAGTGCTCTTCTCTTTTCCCTTCATCCCCCCACCATTTGGAAAAATGAAGCATTCAGTTGACCATCCACTCATCCCACCTGCCACCCTGTATTTCATGTTTCTTTTCAGACAACATCCTGAAATTATTGGTCTTTATGAACTCCTGTTTTCCTCACCTTCTCTGGAAACTTCTGCATTCTGAATGCCACCTGTCATGCCACTAAGAGTGTATGCGGCCTCCATTCTCCTTGAAACCTCTGTGGCACTTGGTACTTCTGGCCAGCCTTTCTTTCCAGAATCCCTGTTTCCCTGTGGGTATTCCAGTTTCCCTTCTACCTCTTGGACTGCCCTCTATGCTCATCACTAGCCCTCCTGTGGGTAGGAGGGTGTCTTAAGTAGGGTGACCATGTAATTTTTCATCCAGACCAAGATATCCTTGAGAATTAAAGGGTGCTCAGTGACAACAGGCACAAACTGAGACCATCCCAGGCAAACAGAGATGTCTGGCCATCCTCTCCTTCAGGCTCAGGGGAGGAGGACGTAGGGAGGGCTCAGGGCAGTAGATGAATGAGCATAGATCGAGAAACTTTCACAGATCCATCTTAGAGTTGCTTAGCTACTTTTGCTTAGAATCTCACGTTAAAAATTCAACATCCCATTCATGAAAGGGCCCAGTTACCTGAGGAGAAGTATCAGAGCAAGATTAGGGCAGAAAAGATGGGTGAGGAGAAAGGTCTAGATGGGGAAAGGCAGAACTGGTTGAACCAGGTCCGGTGGTTCTCTGGGTTCCAGTCATGGAGTCTGCTCTTACAGGTGAAGATGAACATGGTGCTGAAACCTCTTCCATGCTCTTCTCAGCCCAGGGTTCCCCAAGATCAGCGCTGAGTGGCCAGCCGGGTAAGCGGCCATGACGATTTTGCACACAATATTCCAGGAACTGTTGATGTCGAAGATGTTGGACATGGAAATAAATAGAGCAACTGCATTGAAAATGTAGAGAATGAGAAAGCAGCTGGTAGCTTTGATGGCCCCCATGTGAGCCTCCATGCTGGGGTCCCTGGAACCAGTGGCATTGCTCTCCATGTGGAGGGTGTGTCTCTTGAGAGAGATGATCAGCAGGGTGGCTGAAAGGATGAACATGAGCAGAGGAATGAAGATCCCCAGGTTATAGAGAAGAACCAGGTTGACCACATTGGTCTCAGAGAAGTACTTCTCCAGGGTGTTGGAGCAGGGGATGGGAATGGAACTATTTACATATACATTGAAGATATCTGTAGAGAAGGGAAAGCTGAAGCATAAGGAGATGAACAGTGACAGTCCCAGAAGCCAAGGCATCAGCGCTGTGATTTTCCTCTTCATCAAGAAGAACAAAGGGTGAGCAAAGTTTGCAATTCTAAGACAATAGAAGATGTTGAGCCAGGCAGCTCAAGCCAGAGGTTGAAATAGTTCAGAAACATGATGACGACTTTGAAGAGTATAAACACTGTGTTTTGGTTATAAGTGACCCGGAACAGTAGACTGTAAGTATTCTCCAGCATCATCCAGATCTGCAGCAAGAGCCTGGAAAGGCTGAGCATCAGCAGAATGCAGTCACTGACAGGGAGTCTTTTGCCTCTGGCCCGCTCGGCCCCATGGATGGCCATGATGAAGCCATTCCCAACGATGCCAGTGATGCACTCTATTCCAGAGGCCACCAAGGTGAGGACGATTTTAAACCTGCATGTGTCTCTGTCCGTGGCATCTGTGCTCACCGTGGCCATTCTCTTTGGCCCTGACTTTCAGGTTTCCACGCCAAGAACTGGTACCTGCCCTGCAACCTTCTGACCCTCACTCAATGTTACTATAATTTTTCCCTCAGTTAATGGTTATTTCCAATTTTTCTTCATTTGCTTGCCACATGACTAAAGTCAGAGGCTTGAAATGCAAATGATGAAAGGATCTTATTATTGGCTGTCTCCATTTTTCCTAAAGACCCATTTGCCTCAGGCTTGCAGGAGCTCATTGGAAAAAAATTGAGAGCGGTTCCTATCACAGCATCTTTCTACCTTATTTACTTTAAGCCCATATTCACCTGACACGCAAGAGTCCCAGGTTAGGAATCTTAACTGTCCCCATGACTTTGTACTCATCTCACAAGACCTGTTACCTGCTAAATTGTCTGTAAAAATGCAACAGCTCCTTTGATCTGCCTTCTCCTTCTTCTTTTCTTTTCTCCCTTATTTGTGGAAATGTTTTTATCCTATGGTTAGCATGTTTATGAATAAGAAATTCCTATCAACTCGTATATGAACATTTTTACTTAGAATCAAGTTTCCTCCACAAAGGTCAGCTACTGTCCCCAAACACAGAAGAGCCAAAACTTGATGCCATTTGGGTTAATTAGAGATGAGAAAAACTGCCTTGTGACAGTTTCATGATTATAATTTACTGATATGCACATCAGTGTTTGAACTATGAAACAGGTAGAATTAGCCTGGGAAAGCCACAGGGTGTTCTAAACACAGTGCTGAAGTTGGACATGTGACCAAACACTGTTAACTTGAAATTTAATTCCCTACTTCTTCACACTGACTGTGAAACACAATGAACTCTAGCATTTCAAACAATATGCAGATGCCCGGGACTCATTCCAGATCTAGTAAGGCAGAATCTGAGATAGGGCCCAGGCAAATTGTATTTTTAAAAAGCTAAAAGTTCATTGCTCATAGCCAGATTGAGAACCAAAATCTTAGCTAGAGACTAATGAGTCTTGGGCCAAATCTGGCTTGTGTTGTGTTTTATCTTGTACAGCCTAATCCTGGATAACATTAGCCCACCAGTGCTTAATACTTCTTATTGGTCAACATTTAAATTTAGGAGATTGTGTGTATGCACAAAAAAAATCTGCCCTTGAAAAATTAGAAGATTGGGCAATTTTGGGGCTGCATGGTGAATTAGTTGAAGTGGAATAGTGGCTGCACATTTAAAACAAGGTATGTGTGCACTTTTCAGTTTGTCACAGTATCCACTAACTCCTAGTGTCTTCTTGACCATGAGGCTTCCTGCCAGTGTGATGGCCCTGTTATAACTTAAAAAAAAAAAAAATTATTTCTTTTAGAGAGAGGGAGAGAGAGAGAACATGAGCGGGGGCTGGAGGGGGGCAGAGGGAGAGGGAGACAGAGAATCACAAGCAGATTCCCCACTGAGTGCAGAGCCCAACACAGGGCTCGATCTCAGAACCCTGAGGATCAGGACCTGAGCAGAAGTCAAGAGTAGGACACTTAACTGACTGAGCCACCCTGACACCCCTGCCCTGTTATAACTTATATAATAAAAGTACAGAGATGATGAAAATATGTTTCTCCACCTCCAAATTAATTTTATTTCAAATTAAAGTCAGGGATTTATTTTTATTATAAAATTGCTTTTTATTATTAAATTATATTTGTGTAAAAATAGCACCAGAAAAAGCAATATATTGCAAAATTATGAAGACATTGTTTAGAGAAATTAAAGCTCATGTCAACACAAAGACTTGTATAAGAATGTTTGTAGCAGCTTTACTCACAATAGCCAGGAACAGGAAACAACAAGACTCCTTGACAAGTTCTACATATCCAGTAAGAATCAACTTCTGTTACTTCTACTAATAGAGAGTAGTATTGGGGTGCCTGGGTGGCTCAGTTGGTTAAGTGTTGGACTCTTGATTTCTGCTCAGGTCATGATCTCAGGGTTGTAGATCGAGCCCTGTGTTGGCCTCCATGCTCATCGGGGCTGCTTGAGATTCTCTCCCTCTCCCTCTGCCCCTCCCCCACTCATGCTCTCTCTCTCTCTCTCTCTCTCTCTCTCTCTCTCTCTCATTCTCTAAACTAAATAAATCTTTAAAGACATTTATTTATTTATTTAGTTAGTTAGTTGACACAGAGAGACACAGTGAGAGAGGGAACACAGGGGGAGTGGGAGAGGGAGAAGCAGGCTTCCTGCCGAGCAGGGAGCCTGATGTGGGACTCGATCCCAGGACCCTGGGATCATGACCTGAGCCAAAGGCAGATGCTTAATGACTGAGCCACCCAGGCGCCCCTAAAACAAATAAATCTTTAAAAAAATAATAGAGAGTAGTATTTATCAGCAGCTTTCACAAATTCCCATGCACCAAACTCATCTTTTTGTGTATTTTGTTTCAACTTATATAAGTTTGTGATAAATAATATCTCCCTGAAATTCTTGCACATAATTGATTTCCGCTGTTCTGGTATCATCTTCTGTTGGTGTTCTTTCATGTTTTTCTCTGATCTTAATAGGCAAGAGCAGTGGTGGGCTGGTGAGCAGGTGCCATATTAATGGGGATGTGGGGCCAATTCATTTTTTAATCCATGATCATTCATTCGGGGTGCTAGAATGGAGTCTCCTTTATTCTAGGGAAACTCTCATGGGGGAACCAAAGACCAAAGGTTTCACATTCTCGGCTATTGGGTTCAAAAACTTTGGTGCAGGTGTAGGATAGATCAGATTTGGAAGAATATGTGATTAGGGGAAGCCTTTCCTCTCACTTCTCTCTCAAGCACTGCCATGCAGACTAGGATGCTTTCCCAGTTGGGGAGGGATGAGAAGTGCAGGGACGAGCTGGAGTATGTGAATATCTCCATGAAAGAGACCTCATGTCCTGCCTCGTATGGGGCACACCACAGGGCTGCATGGGGTCGCAAAGGCAGAGGGGGGCTGCAGGATTGCTCCCGAGTCTCCCCAGGCACACTTGAGACAGCCACTACATCTTCCTTGTGTTCACACAAAGGGTTTGGAGAGTTGCTGAGGGAGTTAGTGGATTCCAAAGAGGTGTGGTCTTAGCCAGGAGGCTTTGCAAGCTTGGGTTCAGATGAAACCAATGCAAGGACAGGGGCTCCCCACCCCGCACCTCCCTCCATGTCTGTTTGATGCCCACTGAACATGGATGTCACCCCCTGGAGGACAGGAAGGAGAAATCCTGAGAAAATCTTGTACTCATAGTGTTTAAACCTGGTATGAATGAGAAATTCACTAAAGTATAAATTGGTTTATAAAGCCGTGTGAACTCATGGAGCAGGATAAACATGACCAAGATTCTTTCCTTCAATCATAGTGTCCAGCTCTGTGCTGCTGACTCTCCCTTTCCCATCCCACAGTGACATCTTGGGCATGTTTCATCTTTTCTAGTCTTTTTTGGTTATTAATATTCGATCCAGTTTGACTTCATGTGTGGGTTAAACCTTTACCATCTCCCTTTTACCCAAGCACAATTTTATTGGAGGGGGACCGGATGGGTCCGGGACACCTGTCTCTTTCTCTTCTTCTTCCAGGATGCTGCTCTGGGAGAGGGGCAGGTTTATTTTATCTCTTTAATTTACTGGCTGCTGAGGTAAATGCATCCTCTTGTGGTTGTTACTGCTGTCCTGACACCATCTGGCCACGTGTGCCTCTGGGGGGCCAGGCATCATGTACTGGCTGTCGCGTGAGGAGCATGTGGGAGTTCTAGAGGACTCTGTGGCAGCACCAGTCACTCCTCCCTCCTAGTTTGGTAAGTCTAGGCGTAGATGGCAGGCTGCCACTGGTTACAGTAGGGCTGGTATTGCCACCTCTTGCTAAGCTTTGCAGGTCAGTATCTAGCCCCGTTCTTGGCTGCCTGCTTTAGATCTGTCCTTCTCAACCTCGTGTATATACCAGAATTGCCTGAATTAACACTGCGGGGCTTTAAAAAACATCCATACTCATGTCCCATCCTCAAAGATTCCAAGTAATTGTTCTGGAGAAAAGCTAAGCATTGGCATCTCCAAAGCTCCCCATTGCAATGGCAGTGGGAGCAGGGGAGGGTTGAGAACCACTGTGGGCGAGGGGTACTTACCTGCATGGTTTATGGTGTGGGCTCTAAGGCCAATTCTGGGACAACAGGAACCCTGCCACTCAACATGGCTGTGGAAGTGACTGCATGACTTCCAAGACAAGACTGAGGACATGTCCTTCCATCAGGTAGAGGGAGATCAGATCCAGAGGTTGAATTACAGAGAACACTTATAATATTTTGCAAAACAGTTTTTGCCTTGTGAAAGTCACTTCTACTGTATAGTGTTAGAAAAGCAAATATTTCTCCTATCTCTATGAAAAGGAGGAAGAAGGACATAGATGTAGAGAGTCATAGGTTTCTGCTTTGTAAACTGAAGACCATTCCTATGTGCTTATTTGGCAAAGGATGAAATGTATGAGAACAGCCATTATGATGCCATTAGGAAGCAAACCACCATAAGTACAAAGACCAGGGATGTGGAAAAGATGTGATCAAATCCAGTGAGCTGCAAAGAGAACAGAAGAGTTAACAAGATTTGTTTTGGTTATTAATAAAACAAGTATTTATATATTTAAGTGAAAAATCTGCCCAGGACATGACATTCTTCACAGATAGCAAGTTGTAAAAGAGTGTCTACTGAATGTGATGGAAATCATGGGTCCTGAAAAGATATAAGTACGTGAGAATATAAATGTAATCAGAAACACTGTTGCTCAATGTACTAGAAATATGGTTAGGAAATTAAAAAGAAAAATTGTGTGAAAAAAGTCTTAAACATTGTGACATTTGCTTTTGCAGCTGATGAGGGTACATATTTAGTAATACTTAGATGTAATAATTAGCTCTATTTATTCACTGTGGGTTTGAGAATTTTTATACGACTGAAAATATTTTAGACAGTGTGCCCATGACAGGCGTAACACTAGGAAATAATTAAGAAATTCATTTTTGTAAGAGGAAACTTTC